TTAATCTTTATTTTAATAGTGTCATTCAGATTACCTCATACGATTAGTCATCTTATTTCGGTGCCGAGACTAGTTGAATCAGATGAAATGCATTATAAAAATGCATTTTTTTTCATATTAGTTAGCAATCCCCTTATTATTAAAATATTATTAGGTAGTCAAATGTATGTAATAAGTGGTGTAGTAAATCGTGTAGAATTCATTTTTTCGATAAGTCTCTTAATTTCATCTGTAAAAATTTGAAACTGAAAAATGACTCTATTAGCCCCCCTGATCTCCCATATCTATATTTTAATTTGACACACTAAAAATAATTTTATTGGATTATCAAAATATTGTAGAACATTCAAACTAGTTACTAGAATGTTAAAACTTTTTGCAGCATTACTCGTCATGCTTGAGATATCTACGTAATTATTTAGTAACAAAATTATTTTCAGATTTGTTCTAAATTTTTAAGTACTTCAAATCGATTCGTAAATTATAAATACAATTATTATTACTAATATTATAACTAATTATTATTACTAATATTTTTACTTATATTTTTGTAGTAATAATTACAATATGCTATTTATTTTTTACAATATTTTATATTGTAGGCATTTCTGATAAAATTAAGAATTTTATAAAAGGCATTAACGTAACAAGTATAGCATACAAAGATATTAATAAACTGAAGTTTATTACAAAACAGACTTCCAATATTCCATACTAATGTTGTATACGAGATAATTGTGATATGTCATACGTGGATCAGACGAAACCATGCTTTTTGATGACTTCGTCCATATAAGTTCTCCTATTCTCTCTCATCCATGATACCAATATATTGTTTACTAGTCAGATGAATGGTACCATTCGATTAGTTAATATATCAGTTTCATATTCTTTAACGAAACTCATGTACTTGAAAATTCAATTATATATCTATCATTGATTTAATTATCAATATATTTGCTCTGCGCATCCAAGTAATTATAAATTGTTATATGCGCTAGGTTAAGTATAATTTTTTAATTTACTTCATTATTGTACAGTGTATCAAGAAACACAATGATTTCGCAAAATTAAATGTGACGTTGAAAAGAATCTGAATTAAGGATCAAAACGTATGTCTAAAAGATTAAATAAAGAAACTATTTCATACCAAAATCCAGTGCATGACTGACAAAGGCATTAATTTATTGATTGATTCATCTCAAAGGAGCTTTGATTCAAAATAAATTAATTTATACGAAAATATAATTTCTTTTATAATTATAAAATTTTACAAAATTATAATTATAATTAGAAATTATATTTTTAATAATTATAATTAGAAATTATAATTACTTTATTATATAATTATAGTGCCGAAAACTTTTTTCTCACAAGTCCGTATACCAAAGATAACCTGAAATCTTAATTTTTACGATAAATTCTTCAATCGAGTAGAATGGAAATTAAAATTTTTAGCTGTAAATTTTAGCGATTTATCTTCGGATATGAAGAATCACAGAATAAATTTTAGTTTTAAAGGGAATAATCGGGTATATTTACAAGAAACGTAATTTCCTTGCGAAATATGTGAAATTATTATTGTTTGTTAACACAAAAATGTTTAATGAAATTGAAAACATAAATCTTCGATTCTCCGCCATGGCTATTCCTTCACTGATTACTTTAAGTGCATTTGAAAATCTTGTTCGTTTTAATACGAAAGTTTTAATGACAATCTTGTTTAACTTCAAGATGCAAAACGATGTAATTACTGTTTGCAGTGTTTATTTATTTGTTCGAGACTTTTTGATATTATACTAATATTAATTTACTGGCATATAAAGCTCTCTGCTTCATCAAAAAATAACGCGATGCCTAGCTCGAGTCAGTTTTGTTTGCTCGTAGCTTAAGGATGATTCTTGATTACATTTTAACAAATTCTAGAAATTTCTCGCGCTTTCCGCAAGAACTTAACTTTCTACGAAACAGTAAGTGACGTTAATAACAAAAAAGTGTGAAAACATTATTGCTCATTAAGCATTCTTAACAACAAAATGAACTTAACATAATCAAAGTTTCAAAATTATAAATTCTATAAAAATTTTAATTTAATAAATTTTATTATTTTCTTATGGAAATTATATTGTACAATTTTTGCATTTGTATTCTGTTTTACGCTTATAACATTTATAATTTTCATTGAACGATTGTGTTAATTGCATGCGAAATAGATATCTGTTTCAATCAATGATATTAAAACATTTTTGTAAACTGTAATTCCATAAACTAAGCAAATTTATTTTATTGTCCATTATGCACAAATTTAAAAAAATCCATAACGATTTTAATAATAACAGAATTTGTAAAAATGATGCAAATTTCGCATAGATATCCCCGCATTTAATTCTTCTGTCGATAATAATAGCACTTTCCAAACGGCGAGTTTATATTACGAGCTACTTTGTTTCAGCATAATATTTTCGAATCATAAAATAAAATTATTCGAATCGCTCAGTCATATTTGTATTTTATTATAATTTCAAGGAAATTTAAAATTTCACACAGATGTAAATATTTATAGAATAAACTCTTTTTCGTGATATATTTCCTCTTTGACTGAAATGAATATTAATAACAATTCCATTTGCGGCCATCACGAATAAAGCAAATTCAACAGAATTTACAATTAGATAAATAGAATGTATTGCATTTCTGTTAAAATGTCGCTTAAAGCACAAGCTTTGAAGCACAATAAAGTTGCGAAAGAAATTCAGATAAATGTACTCAGAAAAATGACAGAATGGCAGTTGCACATCAAAATGAATCACTTGGCTAATGAGACCATGACTTTAATTCAAAGTTGAAAATTTGATTTAAAGAATCATCTTTAAAAGGACAGCGGCACTCAAAGTAGAACTGTACATCAAATTTAGAATTTAATTGCGCTCTTCGAGAGAAATCGATCCTCCACGAATTTTATTCGAGTGTACGCGTGGAACAGCAAAAAACCGAGAACATTTGTCATAACCGTATGGTATCCTTTTCGCCATTTGATCAATTGCAATTGTATATCGAATTGTATATTGCATAGTATATCGAAGAAATAATATGATTATAATCATCTTTCGCAGATAATGCAGTTCTTCTGGCGAAAAATATTTAAATATTAAAAAAGAGAACGTATAAGCTTCTTTTTTTAAAGTTGCGATATAATAAAGTTGCGAGTATTTAAACTTATAAATGGAAATCTTTGCACGGTACATTTTATATCATTTCTGAGATTTATTTGTCTATTTAACCCTTTCTACATTCAAATAATTTTCCGTCTTACAAGTTGTTGTATGAAAATAAAAATGTCATTAAAAAAATTGAATCAATGATGAATATTTTTCTACGTTGCTTCACGACGGTATCAATCAAAATTCATAAAAAGATACTGAAAAATACAAAGGTGCTATACTCGCTCCTCTCACCTTTTCAGGACGTAACCTCGATTAGATAGCTTTTTATATTTCGGAGAGCATGGAACAGCGTGGAACGAAATTCGCGGTGAGACCAAGTGAGTAGGATATTTCTGAGAGACACTTTAACGCTCAGAATCGTTGCCTTTATGTTTTCCCCGCGAAAAATTTCATTTTCCGGATGCGCAAACATCTTTCAGAAAGATAATCAATAAAAATAGTGGATAGTAAAAACGTGTAAAATGTATTTCGCGTAAAGAAAGTACAGTGTCTCACGCCATGTTTAGCGCCGAGATATTACCGTGTCTCCCGATATCACAAAATTATATACGTACAGAATTTTATACGTAAAAAATATATGAAATTTATTATTTCTTTGTGCAGGTAGCAAAGAAATATCTATATATAATTATTAAATATTAAATTTTAAAATACTTGAAATTTAAATTAAATCTTGTATATCAAGCTAAAATTTAAAAAATATTAAGTGTACAACTTTGCTTCCGCCGTTTTTTTTTCCGAAATTCGAGGCTTTATTGTAAAAAACTGGTTATACATTTATGATTCAAAGTATTGTCCATCGCTGGCCACTACTTTCTCTCATCTTTCGGGTAGCGTACGAATCCCGCGTCGAAAAAACTGGTCATCTTTTGAGGCTATCCACGAATCGACCCAATTTTTTACTTCTTCATAAGACCGGAAGTGCTGGTCAGCCAGGCCGTATGCCATTGATCGAAACAAGTGATAGTCAGAGGGAGTAACGTCTGGAGAATACGGCGGATGGGGTAGGACTTCCCATTTCAACATTTCCAAGTATATCTTGACCACTTTTTGACCATTTTCGCAACATGGGGTCGAGCACTATCATGCTGCAAAATCACTTTATCGTGTTTCTCGTTATATTGCGGCCGTTTGTCTTTCAATGCTCGGCTCAAACGCATCAATTGCGTTCGATACCGATCGCCTGTGATTGTTTCAGTCGGTTTTAACAGTTCATAATACACTACGCCGAGCTGGTCCCACCAAATACAGAGCATGACCTTGAACGTCAAAATCACCGTTCTTGAAGCGTTGAAACCACTCACGACACGTTCTTTCACTAATAGCGGTCTCACCGTAAGTATTTGAGAGCATTCGATGAATCTCAGCCGCAGATTTCTTCATATTGAAGCAAAAAATTAAAACCTCCCGCAAATGACGAGAATTTGGTTCGTAAACTGACATTTTCAATCGAGAACTAACTTTATGATGCAGACACAAATCGACTAATGTTTCTATGGGGTTATGTTGCCCAAGTTTATTATATGATGTCTATGATCTATTTATTTCGACCACCACTTACCGCTAAAGCCATCTATAGGAAAACGGTGGAAGCAAAGTTGTACACCTAATATAATTTTTCGATAAAAAATGATAATGTTAATAATAAGGATATACGTGTAGATCAGAAAGTCACATCAGAAGTCGATGAATTAAAAATATGACAATGTCCGAGATAATATTTATTGTATATTGTGAAAACAATGGAGCAGTAGGATAAGGTTCATATGTACTTACTTTAGGATAGTGGATCGGTATCGCCGACGTGTATTGGAAAGATAAGCTTCCAGGATATCCGTAAAATGGTATAGTCATAACAGGAGTGCTGGAGTCATCAAAATAACCGAAGATCAATTTAGTGCCACTCGGAGAAAACCAGAGCGCCTTGTTTGAGCTGAACACTTCTTCTGTAAATAAAATATAGATAAAATTAGTTAATATATTATTTAATCCATATATCATTATATACAGTGTGTTCCAAAAGTTAAGCAACGGTTAAATATCTCGTATGATATGCATTTCCTTGAAAAACGTTATATATAAAAGCTGTAAGGTTTTAAGGTTTAACCCATTAAATAATAGTTTAGAGGAGACAACTACAACGGAGGTAAGTTGTAACAATGCATACAAGATGGGCCAAAAGTCTGGATACACCCAAATATCTCATAAATTGCATTTAAAAAAAAAATGTTTCTTACAAAAATAAAATTTAAAAAACCCATTCAACGAGTAGTTATTTAATCTAGAATGGCGTTGTCAAGGTCAAGTCAAAATCAACATGAATTTTTTAAATGGAACCCCCTCTATTTTATTAAATATTCTTGTGGCTTATCTTAAGAGTTTTCCAAAACACTATAATTAGGTTCATTTTCATTAAGTACTTTTCGAGTTACCAGGTGTATAAGCTTAAATCCTGTTTGCTCATAGGTGGCATTAGTGAGCATACAAAGCTACCCTGGGCACACAACACACTTTTTTTTATGTGTTTGACATCTGTCAACATTAACCAGTGCACATCATCAGCAATTTCATACAACAACATACATTTTTTCTTTCGTAATCATGTCTAGTTTTTTACTAAAAAGAAAGCATATGCGGGAAGTTTTGCTTTTCTGTTTCAATTTGAAGAAATCGGCTGCCAAATCGCATCGAATGCTTGTGGAGACCTATGGTAACAATGCTTTATCGGAAACAGCGTGCATAGATTGGTTTCGCCGGTTCAATGACAATTTTGACCTGAGTGACAAGAAGCGCGAAAATCGGCCTAGAAAGGTTGAGGACTGTCAATTACAGGCTCTTTTGGACGAGGACGATACCCAATCGCAAAAAATGCTTGCCGAGCAATTGGCAAGCATTTTTCTCAAGCAGCCATTTCCATGCGGCTACATGCCATGGGGAAGATTCAAAAGATCGGAAAATGGGTGCCGCATGAACTGAACGATAGGTAGATGGAGTGACGCCAAAACACATGCCAAATTCTGTTTGCCAGAAAAAAAAGAAAGTCGTTTCTGCATCGGATTGTGACAGGCGATGAAAAGTGGATCTATTTTCAGAATCCTAAACGCAAGAAATCTTGGGTTGATCCCCTCAAATCCCCTCAAATCATCAACATTTTCCTCAAGACCATCGCTTCGGACGGAAAACAATGCTGTGCGTTTGGTGGAGATCAGGAGAGTATCATGTACGAGCTGTTAAACCTGATGAAACTGTTAATGCTCACCGCTACCATCAACAACAATTGATCAAATTGCACCGTGCTCTGCGTGAAAAAAGGTCGCATTATCGGAAAAGACATGACAAGCTGATTTTCCTCCATGACAACGCACCATCGCACACGTCAATGATCCAAAACTACTTGGAGACCCTCAACTGGGAAGCTACTCTATCCCGCTTACTCACCAGACCTGGCACCTTCTATCACCTGTTTTCGTCGATGAGCCACGCGCTCGCTGAGCGGCACTTCGATTCTTACGAAGAAGTCCGAAAATGGCTTGATGAGTGGTTTGCCTCGAAAGATAAGGAATTTTTTTGGCGTGGTATACACAAATTGCCCGAAAGATAGGAAAAATGTATAGTTAGTGAGGGCAAGTACTTTGAATAAATTTGTTTTGGTTTCCTAGGAAAAAAAAATGTGTTTTTCTGACTAAAAAACAGCGGATTTAAGCTTATCCTGGTGTGCTTGAAAGTTACAGTACTGGCATTAGTTACAGTACTGCAAAGTTACAGTACTGCGCAAGATGTCCGACCGACGGCTAAAACCTCTGAATGTCGTTCAAGTCCTGAATAATATTCAAGATCACTGGAGATTGTTTCTTATTTTCATTTTTGCTGAAAATTCATTTTTATGAAACTTTACAACTTTTTAAGAAACATTTTTTTCTAAACTGCATCGTTTATGAGATATTTTGGTATATCCAGATTTTTGGCCTACCCTGTATATCTTTTAAGAGGTTAGTCCACTTTGGAGGCCTCAAAATCATATCTTACTTTCATTATTAAAGAGAGAAGTGATTATTAAAAAACTATACATAATATAAAAAATGTTTTTATATCTATTTGTTACTTGTACTTTGATATACAAAATGTATAAAAATTATAATTCTAAAAAACAAAATGGCGGCGCTACAGAACATTTTTTGGAAGCCTGCATGTGATGAATGCCTCCGCGACAGAACAAATCTAAAATATTCTATCAAAAATTAGAACTATTGTAAAAATTATAAAATTATTTTTAATCTGCTAAAGAAATTTAAATTTGCTAAAGAAATATCTGGCAGAATTAAAAAATATTTAAAAAATGTGAAAATGATGCGTGAAAAAAATTTTCATATAAAAATTCGACATAAAAATATGGATAAAAAAAATATATAAGTTATCGCAAAAATCACAGGTATAAAATGATGAATTTAATTTCTACCGCTTGCTAGAGGGCGCTGGCAAGTTTCGATGGTGAAGTCATTGTTTTTTGTAGTTTAGACATCGCTGAAAGTGATTCAATCCTTATAGGTTAGATTTCTCGACGCCAAAGAGATTTTCAATCGATTAAAAATAAACCGTGATGAACTGTTTTTCCGACATGTGCTTCTTCATTAAACCTCAAGAAAATCGCAGCTGAAGCGCATCGCTTATTATCCAAAGTGTATAGTGATGAAACTCCATCGGAAAAAACATATAGTTTGATTTAAACACTTCCGCTTAATTTTGACGTGAGAGACAAAGAACATCCAAGACAGCCGAAAAAATTTGAAGATGTAGAGCTGCAAGAATAGCTCGATGAGAATCCAGCTCAAAGTTTTAGAGTTGTCGAAAGTATTAAATGTTACTCCAAAAGCCGTCTTAAAACGCTTGTATGTCATGGGAAAGATTCATAAGAAAAGGATATGGCTACCATATCCTGAGTTGTCATAAATGCCATTTTGAATTGTTTGTCTATCGCAATTTCTTTGCTTGCCAAGCAAAGAAAAAAGACTTTTTTTTGTAGCTCATTGTGACTGACGAAAAATGGATTTATTTTGATAATCCCAAGCGGAAAAAATGGATAAACTCCGACCAACCATCCGTTTCAACGCCGAAGAGGAATATTCACGGGCATATGAACGGGCCTTGTTTATCATTTGGTGGGACTAGGAGGATGTGCTGTATTACGAACTTTTTCATCCAAATGAAACCGTTACAACTGACCGTTATAAACAACAATTATGCCGATTGAATGGCGAGTTGATGCAAAAAAGATCATCCGTGGTTAACAATCGACGCAAAATCATTTATTGCATGATAACGTTCGACCGCATGTTGTGAAAAGCATGAAGTAAACATTTTTACAACTTGAATGGAAAATCCTCCAGCGTACTCTCCAGACTTAGCACCGTCGGATTACCATCTCTTCGGTGGAACACGCACTTACGGACACACACTTCTCCAGTTACGAAATCCAAAAATGGATGAATGGATTGTCTAGAAAGACACCGCATTCTACCTTCGTGGAATTGTCTTGTTGTAAGAAGAGATGGGAAAAAGTAATAGAAAATGGAGAAAATTACTTTGATTAAGGCATTCATTCATCTTCCTTTCAAAATAAATCAATTTTGAAAAAAACGCCAGGAATTAAGTTCACCATTTCTTTAGATAATTCAATTGACAATAACTGAGCCAAATTTCAAAGCATTTGAATTAATTTTCTGATGTCCACCGAAAACACCATTCTGAGAAAAACGCAATTAAAATTTCAATAACAATCCCTTTTCATCGTATTTTAAACACTTGGACACATTGATTTCTAAATTGGTATAATTTATATTAAAATTGTTTGTCAACGTCATCTACAGTACAGACTATGTAACGTCAAATGACGCAACTATTCATAAATGGGAACAGTTTAACGGCAGCATCGATTACTGCATCACTCCATAATCAACTACATCTTCGTGGGAATTTCACTTTCGGATAAAAAATTTTATATTTTTAAAACTAAACTATCAATTTAAGCAAAAAAAAAATTTTCAATTTTTTGAAAGTTTCTATAGGATTGTCACAAGTCAGAGAAATCAGAGAAGTCATGAAAAAGTCAGAGATTTAGCAAAATTTTCTGGAAAAATAAAATGGCTGTAAAAAAGTTTAAAATTTAAATGATTTAAAATCTTAATTTTTATGTAAAAAATTAAATTTTAAAGTTGTCTGTTCTTTTGTTTATATCTAAAGAAGTTCTCTGTCAGTTCTCTCACAGTTTACTCACTTATGAACAAGTGAGTAAAATAAATATTAATTTCATATTTTTGTGACTTTTCTTTCAAATAATCATAATAGCAAATTGAGATTTTAATAAATAGGATAGTTTTGATAAAAAAGAAACTGTATTCATTGATTTATGTTCCTTATATTCTAAATACAACAGCAAAGAGAAAAAGAAGAAGAGGAAAAATATCATGTTCATACATAAAAGAAAAAGACAAAAAAAAATGATTTAACAATTAAATGCAGTGTCAACAACATTAATAGTAATTTACACTGTTATGTTAAATTGCTCTATCAAGAAAATATTTAACAATTTTAACAATTTTCAAATCAAAATGAAAATACAAAAAAAATTTCAAAACATGTATTATTGAAAGTTAGGGAAAATCAGAAAATTTTGGGACGAAAAATTTGTAGCAATCCTGTTTCAGGGTTGACTAACTCCTTAAATGATAAGAGATAAGATAATCATGCAAAGAACAAAAATAATCGATATCGAGGCTTGCATGTGCCTCAAGTCATCAATCATACGCCGCATGTAGAAAAAATTATATATACTGCTCAGACAAGCCATATAGGTGAAAATTTACGATTTTATATTTTTTTGCTTTAAACTTTCAAATAAAATGTTTTTTATCGTATTTTTATTATATTCTAAAATTTTCTCAAGCTAGCA